ATAGAGGGGAATTACGCTACGAGGTAGATCTTCATTAGGGTTGAGGTTGATCTCGATGTGACAACACCATCACATCTCACACACATGCATGGCACTTCTTCTCTCTGCCAACAACAACGCTGCCATCAACACGGCTGACAATGTCAATAATAATAAGCAACAATAGGATGATTCCTCGTATTTCACCACTGCTGATACTACTACTGCTACTACTATCGACACCTGTATGTGGACGCGACTTTGAACCGTACACAGTCAATGGCGGGTTGGTCTCGGCCGTGGCTGCCAAGGATTTTGTAGTGATTGCGTCGGACACGCGCTTTGTCGGCGAAAGTGGCTACGACATTGTTTCTCGCGATTACGTGACCAGTCGTTTGTGGATGGCCCAACACGACACTGACTTGTTATTAGGCACAACCACAACGTTGCCATTTGCTCCCACAATTATTGGATCGGCTGGATGTGCGGCCGATTGCGAAGCTTTGAAACGCACCATTCAAGCCGAGTTTCGTACGGCCCACTATTTTGGAACTACTTCCAGCAATAGTGTCGATCCCACATTGCTCAGTCAAGTCCTCTACAGTCGACGCACGTTTCCTTTTTATAGTTTTTGTGTCCTGGCCGGATTGTCACCGGAAGGGGAAGGACAAGTCTTTTGCTACGACGCCATTGGATCGTACGAATCCGTGGCCGTGGCCAGTGCCGGAACTGGACGACAACTGCTGCAACCCATTTTGGATCGCAAATTTCGAACACTACAAACTAGTAGCGCTACTAGCCAAACAACAACAACGACAGTCCCCACACTAGTGGATTGTTCCGCACAGGAAGCCGTCTCGATTCTCGTCGATGCCTATCGATCCGTATCGGAACGAGAAATTCAAGTCGGAGACAATGTCGTCCTTTGTGTAGTCCAGAAAAAAGCAGATGGAGCAGTCCAATGTGAGGTCCTCAAAGTGCCTCTCAAGAAACACTAGTGTGTGTAAAGAAGGCCTGGGAAATTGTGCAATCTACAAATTACTTCGCAACTCAAAATCCCCGAACCAATTCACTCAATTCACTCACCTAGACTACTGCAGCCATGTGTGAGGATATTTATGAAGTTGGTGGTACGATTGCCATGGGGACTTCTGCTGCGATGAACACGGAAAGATATATATGATACAGACCGAAGTGTGCTCTGTGTTGTTCACACCCTTCCCTCTGCTCTCCCCTCTACAGTAGTCTAGTTTGATTTGACACCACAGTATTCCATTCGAAAGAGCCACCGTCATCTGCAAGAGTATGGTACTATAAAACTAGAGATAGATAGACTATATCGCCGTAGATGGGTAAACGGGGACAAGCATACGTACTGTAGCCTGAAGAGGCCAAGTAAAATAAAGGAGCAAGAATTACAACTGAGTACTAAAAATAGTCTCAGATGCTGTCACAAGCATATTCTCAGCCAGCGAGAACCTTCAATATCGAGAAAGCAACAATCCAAAGCACAGTGCCCAGAACTCAACTCCTCCTCGTCTTCCTATATTATATCCTCAGAGCCGAGATGGAACCTGTGGAGCTCAGACTGCACAAGTCACCCTCCCCGCAAACCATCTTACTTGGTGCTGCCAGTGCCACAACCAGATATGGAACCATAGGATTGGAGCAGAAACAGTAATAGGAAAGTCATTTCACACACTAGCTAGTCTGGCACACGCCTGGCTGAAGTTACCAGCGCGCTCTCTCACAAATACAGCCCTACTAAGGGATTCTTCAGAGTTGTCAGGTGCAATCTGCCTACTAGACTAATGAAGCTTGCTATTATTCTGAAATTGGCTTGGTCCAAATGATGCCGAAAATTGGAGTTGCCCATCAAAGAACAATACTCTTCCTTGTGGGCCTTCTTCAAGAGCTGAACATGGCCACCACTTCTCCACATTCATATTGGATCCTTCATGACCATGGTGTCGGAGTCTCAACCGGCTCATCCAGTTTAATGCATGGCATGATGGTATCAGCTCTGGGGTAGATGAAGCCTGCACTCCAGAGTATTCCCAAGAGACGAGAAGCTTTCTGGGCAAGACCTCTTCCCTGGCTGGAGCATTCTTCTCAGATGCCTTATCTTTGACGGCGATACCGTTCGACAGATCCCATGAGTGCTAGTGGACTCACCATCACAATCGCAAAAAATGCATAGAATAGCACGGCTCGGGGCGACATTATGGTGTGCAAGTCCATGTGGGAGTGGAAAGCGTCCCGCTGACTCCCGCTGCCTAGAAAATCTACGGGTCGCTAAGCCTAAAACTTGCAACCCAACACACTTGAGGACACTCCTCTCCCCGACGACTCGACTCTCAAAGCGTCCATTATTTATACTGTAGTCTACATGTATTGTGCAAGTCACTCTTTCTCGTCTTCTCACAAACAAAACCAAACACAAACAAATCCAACCATCACACCCGACAATGCCCAAGTCATCCAAGCCCAAACTAGTTGTGGAGGCTCCTCCCAATGGCCAGCAACCCAAAGCAGTTGTCATTCTACTTGGCTGGTTTGGTGCCCAGTTCCGACACTTGAAAAAGTATGCTGACCTCTATGAACAATTTGGATGCACCACCATCTCTGCCATTCTTGATAAGAAATCCATCATGTTTATAAATCTCGTCAAGACGGATGCATTGGTCAACATGGTGGTAAAGGAAGCATGCAGGCACTTGCGCCAAGGTGGCGATGAAGTGCCACTAATCTGCCATGCCTTTAGCAACGGCGGATGTGTGCCCCTCTACCGAATGCAAAAACAAATGATGGAAAAGATCAACAGTAATAATGCTGAGGATGTGGACAACTGGAAGTTGATTCGAGATCGCTATCAACTGGGAGCAGAGATTATTGATTCTGCACCAATTTTCCCGGATGCGGCTGCATTTGGTCGAGCCATTCGTACAGCCTTGCCAAATCGTGTGCTGTCTTCTACAGCCATCTTTTTCGTGTCGATTTACCAAAACTCTCAAAACTCTGTCATGAAAGCGCGAGGGAAAAAGCCCTACCCGGACAAATTTTGGTCTCATTGGGAAGACTCTCCACAATATGCTGGAGTGCAGGCGTTCATCTACACCACAGCGGATACTATCTTGCCATACGAAAAACTGGATGAACTGGTGGAGACTCGGAAAGCTCATGAAGGAGCCAATGTCTTGGTGGAGCGATTTGGTGACAGTGACCATGTCCAGCTCTTGAAGGACCACAAGGAAGAGTATTGTTCTTTGATTGGCAGAGTTTTGGACGGAAGCAAGAAGTGAATGCGCCTGATAGAGGTATCCTATCCCACTACTAGGAACTACATGTAGAATAGAACTTTCTTATATAACACCTATTGCAAGTACACATTTCTTTTGGAAGAAGTCCGACTACTTGTTCAGAGAGAGCAAGTTGGCAAGCCGTCACCAGAATCAGATAATTTAGTTTGCCTTGGGTTGGTTGGACTAGTGTGGATGTTTCAGCTAAGCTGGGATACAAGCCAGAATCAGATAGATGTGCCTTTAGATTGGTTTGGTGCGACGAGCGAGAGCTGACGCTTCAGCTGAGACACAATCCAAAGGCCACTACTCATCGCAACTACCGGTATGCCAACACAACTTAACTACGGTACGACACTGCTGATGTTTCCCGATGTTCCGCTGATACCAAAAACTGAAGTTGGCTGCCTGGGTTGGTAAGCCAGAATCCCCGTGCAATGTGAGCAAGGCGTTTTCCACGGTCTGGGACCTCCAAGGGTGCGGTACATGTAGTTCCATTGCTTGAATAAAATAATTGTTTTGCCCGGTGTGTTTACGGGAGAGGCTAGCTAGCTAGTCATACTTATTCTGCCTCTAAAAGGTTGTCCAGTCAGTCGTTGCCGGGCGATAGCCACATTCACCAATGGCCTCAATCTTTTGAAATAATGAGCTTCCGCACATTCTTTCTTCCTTCCAAAGGCAATAGCTCCGCTTCTGGAAGGGCTACAGTGAAATTAGGTGGCAGAGCCTCAAAGCCTACGGTACAGGATGCTGACGTGGGACTGCAAAAGTTGAAGTACGTGCCACTCATGACGTCTCACCAGAACTCGAGGGTATCTTCGTCAT